GGCAGTGTTTATTGCTCTGTCTGTCAGTTGCTGAAGAAGGGCAGATTTTAAAGCATGTCACATTTTTAACCATCAAGTTAAGCATTTAAGAAAATCATACGGTTCAATGTTTAGCTGTTGCTTTCCTTTTACAGAAGGGAAGATGGTGATGCAGCTACATCCTCATCAGTTTGCTCCATGTGCACCTTTCTTAACAGAGAGCCTTACTCCCAGGCCAGATTCTTTAGGATTGCTTGCCTGTACACTCTCTCTGAAGGGAGTTTAAATCTGCTTACATCAGATTCTTCAAGCTTAGTTTGCATGTGGGTTGTTTGCACCTTTAGACTCTTTTGGAGAAGTTCAATGTAGAAACATGGATCAAAATCTGTGTTTTTGATTTGTTAACTGAGTGTTAAGCCATCACGGTAGGACTTTGAGCAGGAACTTGAGAGCCATGAAGAGTCAGATGGGGTTATCCCAAGGCCCAAGCCAACACTTCATATGAAGCCAGGCCATTGGTTCATCTAGCTCAGCACAGTCCACTTTGGTTCATCAGGATCTTGGGCATAGAAGGGTCTCCAGTAGTCCTGCTAGCTGTTATCCTTTATGGGAGACTCCAGGGATTGAATGATGATCTTCCCCATGCAACGTGTACACTCTGCCACTGAGGTTCTAGGTGGTCTGAGAGTAGCTGCTCTCTGTCTGCAGCATGGAGATATTTGTCTGCTTTACAAGGTTGTATCATAAAATTGCCGAACTACTGTATTTGAAGAGCTCTGGTTACTTGAAATGTGATTCACAATGCTCGCTATGGCTTACGAAGTTTGTACTAGCTGAAAGAAACTAGGGTTGTTCATCTGGTCTGAAAACTGAAGTTGTACGCTTTGAAAATAAGGGGCTTTTATTGCTGCTGGGCATTATGTACCTGGAAAACTGGTTACCATTTGATGATCAAAATGGCGTGATTAGATATCAGTGGGTGGCTATGCAATAGGTAACAGGTTTTATGGGAAGGACCCTTCAGTGGGTGCGAGAGGCAGCCCTCTCCTCTAGCACACTGCCAGCGGGAACTATAGCCTCAGCCACCAGTTTGCCCTCTTGCTCCTTTTGCCTCTAGTTTAAGCAGCTGGTAAGAGTGGTCAAGGAGCTGCGGTGGCTCAAGTGGTTAAGACGCTGAACTGCAGGCTGTGGAAGGTCAGGAGTTCAGGAGTTCAAGACCCGGGTGCCGCATGACGGAGTGAGCTCCCATCTCTAGTTCCAGCTCCTGCCAACCTAGCAGTTCGAAAGCAAGAAATTGCAAGTAGATAAATAGGTACCACTTCGGTGGGAAGGTAACAGCGTTCTGTGCGCCTTGGTGTTTAGTCATGCCGGCCACATGACCACGGAAACGTCTTCAGACAGCGCTGGCTCTTCGGCTTTGAAACGGAGATGAGCACCGCAACCCTAGAGTCGGATTCGACTGGCTTTCGAGCAAGGGAACCTTTACCTTTACCTTTAAGAGTGGTCAGTGCTACTTGGAGGCCTAGATTTGGCCCTGGGGTCTCCAGTTGCTGATTCCTACAGTGAACTTTTTGATGAAGCCTGGTATGTTCTTAATAATGACAGCCTATTTCTCATTTGTCCCCATCCCCCCCCCCAATTAACTAGCAGAAATCCAAGGACTGCACAAGCACATGTAAATAAGCTTGATTTGGGTCATAGAATTCAGCTTTCCTCTGCACAAAAACCAGGGTGTTTTTAAGTCCGAGACCATCTATGTAGTCCTGGGTGTGTTTGCTGAAGGTCTTTCCTTGCAAAATACTTTTCCACCATCCCTTTTGGGTTTTATTTTCTTCCGCCTTCTCTTCCTGGGTGCCCCATTTTCCCTTCTGCATCTGGATATTTTTAGCCTGCTTTGTATGTTTTTTTTTAGTTTTGCTTTTCTGTCTGAGGCAAAGAAACTGGCATTTTCTCAGTTTGCTCATTTTCTCTGCCCCCCACTTTCACTGTTTTGTCTGCTTTGCCATCCCTCCATCTGTTTCTTCTTCCAGTGGCTTGTTTGTGCCCCCTTGTTTACCTGCGTATTCAATCACAGTCTTGGTGTTCTTATTCTTTTTAAAATACAGAAAGGTTTTGTGACCAGATCTATGTGTTTCCTTGGTGTTTGCTAGGTAACACTGATGGGAGACTTTGCAGGAAATTGTTTAAGGAAGGTGCTTAATTCCCTATCACCCAGGAACATTTTTTTTTGTCTTTCAGCCAGAAGCGTGTGTGTGTGAGCATGGATAGAAATGTGTGAACCTTTTCATAGTTCATTGTGCAAGAATATGACTGGCAGTTGACTATTGTGGGGGGGGACTAGATACCTATGTCGGTATCCCCTGTTACAGAGAAGGTGGGTGACCACTATCTTCATCTTCCTACCTGAAAAAAATCTCACCCCTTAAAGATGTAAAATATAGCTCTGAACTCTGGAGAGGAAAGCATTCAAATGTGGAGCTGCAAGAAGGTATGGGAAATGCAGCTGATGTAGAATGCCATTCATCACATGCTGGCAGGTTGGGTGGAGTTGGCAAGGACATATTTCAGAACAAGTGTAATACCTCCATTGGTTACTGGTTCTTTTCTGAGCCCAAGACCAGTTGGTGTGCTTGACCTTTTAAAGCACTATCTGGTCTGGACCCTGAGTATTTTTGGAGAGTGCGTTCTCCTATATGACCCCCACCATTTTAAGATCTGTCTGTGAGGCTCCATCTTCTAGGGACCTGGGGTGGTCCTTTACCAGGAACAGTGACTTTTCTACAGTGGCCTCAGAGGTATGGAATGTGATTCTTCCCCTCTCCCACCAGAAGTCCTTCTATGTGTTTTTCTTGTCTCTTCAGGGGCAGATGAAGACTTCTTTGTTCTGCCAGGCATGTGAGCTCTGAAAAAATTTTGTTTTAAAAAACTGCTTATTAATATTAAGGATTCTTACATTACAGTATTCTGAATGTTCTAGTTGGGAGCTGGCCTACAAATATTGCAAACCAATAAATGTAATGCATAAATTCAAGGCATCCTCTCCTTTTGTCCTAGAAAAAGACTTGTCCGTTTTCCTCTAAAAATTGTCCCTGGTTACCATTTTCTACTGTTGTACTTTTGTAGGCTAAAGGTTTCTCCACAGCTTTTGTAGGTCATACCTACATTCCTTATTCATTCTCTCTCCCCCGCCCTTCCCCAATAATTCAAAATGAATGATGCCCATAGGCATGACATTCTCTCTCACCAGGCCTTCTGACAATACTGTCAGCCTTTATTTTTTCTGAAAATGGGGAGTAAGTTCCCACTGAAATGTGGGCTTCTCGAACGCTGTGCCGCCAATAGGACTGTGTGGCCTGAAGGAATCCATCACAGTGCATTAGAATCTATTCAGTGTGACAAGACACAGTTTTGTAGGCAAGGCTGATTTGGGACATGTTGGCATGTAAACAAGTGAGTTAAGGAACTCTGGGCAGTTGTCTTCATCTGTATATAACTTGTGCAAAGTAAATGAAGGTTTTGGGGTGGGAGATAATCTGGGTTGGAGGAGGAAAACCATTTTAAAAAATGAACAAAATCAAGGTTGGAGGAGGACAACCATTTTTTTTAAATAATATGAACAAAAATGAAAAAAATCAAGACTGGAGGAGGAAAACCAATTTTTTAAATGAACCAAATCAAGGGTTAGAGGAGGACAACAATTTTTTAAAAATAAAATGAACAAAAATGAACAAAATCAAGCTTTCTAATCATAGCACTGCTGGTCAGGAAAGGAGTCTGTATTCCACATAGTCCTTGAAACAAAATCGGCAATCACATTACCCCTGATTGGCACTCCTCAACTTGTCATCAACTTGAGCAATGATTGGGGGCTCCTAACAGGTAATCAAACAAAGACCAGTAAGATGGCTGGCAGCATCATTTCTTACCCAAACAATTTTAGCAGAGTTTACATTGGTTTAATCACTCCCCTTAGAACTATGTAATTCCTGTATCATTTACCCTTGAATGTGAGTTCACCAGGTGCCTATAGATGACTCATTGTGCTGACCATTGGCACATGCTGGAGTGCAGGGGTCTGACTCTGGGGACAGCACAAAAGATCTCTGAGGTTGAGCATGGGTCTGCTGAGGTCTGGGAGAGCTGGGAAAATCTTTAGCCAAAGGCATTATTTATATTAAAAATGTATGGGATGCTGCCGCCATAGGACTGTACTACCTCATTCCTATTCCATTCTGCTTGGGTGAGCCTTAGTCCTAACTATCATTGTCCAAGTGAATGGCAGCCCCGGTATAGAGAATGGTGAAATTGTCTTTCCATTGTACTACGGATGGTATTTTCAATAAAGAAAGCTAGCATGTAGTTTGGTTTGTTTACATGAATTACTTGGCAGAATATTCTTAGATGCACACTACTCAGTTTGCATGCCTTACCAACTCTGTTGCTTGCTGGGCAAAGGGGGTTTATCAGTTATCTTTGCTGTACCTTCAGCTCTTGGCCATCTTGTGAAATATGCCTCCAGTTTTAATTAGGGGGAGAACATGTGGTTTGGCTGTTAGGAGTTTACAGCATGGCATGTGATACTAACTGCTGTGGCCTGCAGTTCTGATTTTCTCTCCCCCACCCCATCCCCCATATAACCCTTCTGCTGGGTAAACCGATAGTATCAGTAATCGTGAGATTAACAGCTCTGACATAGTAAGAATCTTGTATTTGTACACAAATCTGATTTAAACAACAACAACAAAAAAGATTGAGCCGTCTTAGCCTTTTTGATCATGCAGTTCAGTAATGAATGGAGGGAAAGAAAATCAAACGTGTGTGTATGTACACACTCAGCCACTTTTTCCTCGTGTGGATTTTAGTAGGTCTGGGGGGGGGGGAATGACTGTGTGTGTATTTTTTCCCTCCCTTCTTCATCCTTGTGACACTGTACGTGCCAGAGCCCCAGCTGCAGCATTTGTTCTGAGCCTCCTGCCATCCATGGCTAATGTAGACTTTTGTCCTTTTTTCCCCTTTCCTAGGACTGAGTTTGCCCTGAAAGAAACCATGTCGACGGGCGGTGTGGAGGATGACATCCCTCAGGGAGAGAGGAAAACTGTCACAGACTTCTGTTACCTGCTGGATAAATCCAAACAGCTTTTCAATGGCTTAAGGTCAGTGGGCTTCAGGTGCTTTAAAGCAGGAATGTACATTTAAAAGAGCCTCTGAAAATTCTGCGCCCAGGCCCTATAGATTTTCTGATGTGTATAAATTATGCAAATATACATGTTTCTCAAGGTGCTGCAATGTTTACCAGAATTAAATACATCGGGCAGGCAGAGGGAGCAAAGAGCTGCACAAGGAGCACAGGAATCCTGTTCCCCCAACCTCCAGAAGTCATTTCTTCCACCCTTTTGGCTTCTCGGACTTCAACAAGCTTTTCCTGTGTGTTTTCAAGCATTTCTTTGTGGATGTCAGGGCAGAACAGATTATGCAAACGTCCTTGATTCCTATCTTGTGCACAGCTCAAAGCACTTAGCTTTCATTGGTGTGGAATTTAAAAAAATTTCTTCTGAGAATGGAGTGCCTTTTGTTATAGTAACAAGCAGGAGGATTTGTGGGGATGGAAGAGGAAGGAGTTGCAACAAGTACCTCATGTTGAACGACAAGGGAAAGGGACTGTAAAGTTAGGCGGGTCCTTGCATAAACAGAGAAAACCCCATTGTGTCTCAGAAGAACATGGCCACTGGGATGTTCAGAAAATTCATAGGAGTGGTTTTGTTTATTTAAAGTGTAATTTTGGTTAGGAAGTTTTTGTTATAACCTCTAGGATTCCACCAGTGTTTCAGGATCTTTGTTTAGAAGCCCTGTCTGTGATTGAGTTATGACTGTTCAGACACATAGGTCTTGTGCTCTTTGCCTGCTTAGGGAACTATTTTACAATCTACTGGACTCATCCTCCCCACAGTGTTCTCTTATCATAGCTCCTTTATGGAATGGAAAGGCAGTGCTCTCATGGAAGGGCCAGCAGAAGTGAACAGGAACAGTCTGGTTGTGAGGGGGACCTCAGCCTCCTCTGGTCCGTTTCCCAAACCTCTGCTCAGTCTTGTGACCAATACTTGTCCCTAATGAACCAAGCTTGGAGTTCTTTGAGCAGAATGACTTTTGCATGAGCAATATCAACTTGTTTGGCCAATGAAAAGATTAGGATGGGTTAACCTAGGCTTTGCCTGTCTGATGTTCGCATCTAAGAGAAGACTAGAATTATGTGACATGCCTCTCTGTTCATCCAGTAGTGAATTCTGCATTACCATTTGGATGGACCTTAACAGGGGCAGATTGGCCATTAAGGCCACTGGGGAAAGTCCTGAGAGGCTGCCCCAAATTGTCATGGCCCAGCATTAAGTAGGTGAATGCGAGTTGCTACCACAAGCCAGTGGCCTCCTTGTTGTGCAAGGTCGGTGGGAGCCGCCGCAGCCACAAGCCAGCAGCCCTGCACAGTGCAGGCAGGTGCAAACCAGGCAGAAACTGTGAAAAGTATGCTCCTTCTCTCCCCCACTCCAAGGGGGGTGACCCTGGGGGTAGACCCTCTTCCTCCTTTCCTCCCATCCAGGCATGTGGGGCCCTTTCCAGGGCAGTTTCTGCTTCCCAGGCCACACTTGGACCATGATTTAGATGAAGGTAGGTGTTCTACCCATTGCATCTTTACAGTGCAAGCTCTATAAACCATAATTGGGCTTTACCCAGAAGGCTGCATTCAGTTGGAACCCAGAAGTGTGAATCACTCTCCATCGGGGCTGGATGGACCCCTCCTGTCGGTAGTGGGCCAAATTGCTCAGTTACAACAAAGTACTGACCTCACCAGCTTCTCCAGCTTACCAGAACAACTGGGAAGCTCCTTTTATATTGCCTCTGCCTAAATATTTCTTTGTTTATGCTCAGTGAGCCCAAGGTGTAGTATAATGAAGTGGAGGGAACTTTAAGGTTGACTGTCTTTGGCCCTCACTGGTTTTTATTCATGATTTAGCAAGTGTGATTTTTTTGAAGGAGAGAATAATATTGTCACATTAAAGTGTGCTAATGAGAGAGCTCAGAGCCAAAATTCCTTTCCCATAAGCTGCTTCTGCAACCTTGGGCCAGTTCTTGTTCTAGTATTTTTTTAAAAAAGAAAAATGGAAGCAGCCTCCTACCTTCCTGTGCAGAGGTTTCTGGGTAATAGATAAGATAACATTCCGAAAGTGCTGTGTGGGTGAGGGGAGAGAAATGCTGCATACCCACTTGCTGTTGCTATAGCTGCACTGGAAAGCTGGAACTGAATTAATGAAAAGCGAGATACTGATCAGCCCTGTTGCTGCTCTGTCGACAGGAGTTAGGAGGTGTGCATTGAAGACATCTCCCCACCCAACTACTTATCATACTGAATCTGTGTTCTGTTCCTTCCCTGCTTTTGCCAAGGTGACTCAAGTGAAGCTTTAATTTTTTGTGTCCCAAATACTAATTCCTTCCTTAATACCCTGTCATGAGGCCAGGTGAAGCAGCCAACTCAGGTAGCTGAATTCGGACATCTTTAAGGGCAGTGAGCAAAGACATTGCTCCGTGGGTGAAGGGATGCCTTCAAGGAGAAAAAAGTCCCCCCATTTTTCTTGTTCTCCCAGGTTTTAGTTGCAATCTATTAAGGTCACATAGCATGAATTAAAGCTTCATTTCCCTACTTTCCATAAAGTGCTTAAAGCAAAATCGTTTTTCTCCTAGTAATGGTGTTTGGTACTCTGCTTCCCCCAAACTAGTTCTTCTTAAGATAAACCTAGAAAAGGAGACAAGCTGGAGGGACAACAACAGGAAATCTTGTGGCCTATTAAAGACAAACAACATTTTGTTATAAGATTCTCTGGGCTAGACTTTACTACTTCAGGTGCAAATGCATGGATCCTTGTTCATTTTATAGAGACATGACAGAAAAAAAGCAGGGTTAAGGGACTGTGAAATGCAGGATGTACAGGGTGAAATGTAATTATGTAAAATTCAAATCTAATCAAGAAAGAGACCATTCACTAACTTTGCTTAGCTAGTTAACATGTGCAATGGTTGCAGCTTCCTAGATTTTGCTAAAATAGTTAAAACTCCTGATAGGTAAGAAATCCAAAGTCTTTACCAAGCTAGGGTAGGGTAGCATTTTAACAAATTCAAATTTTAACCCTCTAACAAATCCAAATTCAGCAATTTTATGCCGGAGTTTCCATATGAGGTTCATTTGTTGAAGAATTGTGACTTGCAGGTCGGAAAATGTGGCCAAGGAGACTGACATTTGCTAAATGGTTTCTGAATATTTTTATATTTATTATGAAGCTCTCTTGAGCAAACCCTATTGAAATGAATATCAGCTGCATGAGAGTATGCAAAAAAAAATCCCTTTATGCAGTAGAACAGCAAATGCAAGAAGCACTTGTGTTGGCACCAAGGTTGTTATTCTTCAGGCACCATGTTAAAGCACCATGTATGCCTGAGCACTTAATAATAGACTTCCTCAACTGATCCTCTGTTTTTATTGACTTCTATTGCTGTAAGCCTGCCTTGAAAATAGGGTTGCCAGGTCCCCCTTAGCCACCGATGGGGTAGGGTTGCCAGATACCAGGCTGGGAAACTGCTGGAGGTTTGGAGATGGGGCTTCCAACTTTTTCCTTGATAGTAGTAGCTAGCCAAGATTTGTCTTTACTCCCAGAGTTGATCTGACTGATGTCATGGTGTACTTTAGAGGCATTTGCTTTCCCTTGGAGACCAGTATGAGATCAGGAACAAGCCTTTCTCCTTCCCTCTGTGTTCCATTCAGAGGGGATGAGGACAGCTTTCATCAACTATTATCTTCAGCTTTGGAGCCTCTCAGGATGCCTCTGAAGACTACTGTGAGGGGTGAACTAGACAATTCCATGTCACCAAGTGGGGATGTGACAGTGTTCCCTCTATGGTGAGTTAGTGTGAGCTAGCTCACAGTTTTTTTAACCTCTGGCTCACAGATTTTTGTCTTAGCTCAGGAGGGAGGGCTCCAGAGCAAACTAATTTATGCAGTAGCCAAATCGCTCGCTCACAGCTTTGATGCCAGTAGCTCACAAAGTAGGATTTTTGCTCAGAAAACTCCACAGCTTAGAGGGGAACATTGGATGTGACACCATTTCAGTTTTGTTTTTTAACTTTTCAAAATGCTGCAGGGGCCTGATTATGCTGGGGGACTGTAAAAAGGGGGGATCAGAGGTTCCTCTTCTCTCCTGTTTTCATGAGCTGAAATGGCTGCCATTTTGCCTCTCGAAAACAGCACCAGGGAAAGATAGGAGCTCCTCACCCACCCACCCCATGCCATGGTTCCTAGCAGGATCAAGCCTCTGTGGTGTTCTGAGAAGTTAAACTCTAAAATGGTGCTATGTCCACATGTCAGACTTTGGGATGTGGCCCTAATTGTACTGGCCCCACCTCTTCCTTATTTCTAGAGGAGGGTGTGGTATGGTCTCAACCTTATACTGTTGAGTTTTAAAGTTATTTGCTAGAAGTTATTTGCTCAGTGCAGTGTAGGATCTGAAGATAAGAAATCTAATGTCCATGCACATGTGAATATCTCAGTATTCAGATTACATTTGGTGCTGGATTTAAAATTTGGTATTCTGGGATTTTAATTCATTTATGTACTTAAGGTAACCATAGATAAGATTTGAAGAGCAATCATAGTATGCTCTTCACTTGAACTGTGAGCCTAGCTTTGTAACTTGCTGTTAAGAGCTCCAGCTAATTTGAAACAGAGTAGGCCACTGATGCTGCCTCTTTCCTCATGTCTCAAGTGGACATCCTGCATTAAAATAATATATGCACATTTATTCACTTACACAACCATGCTTCAATTTGCTCCCATCTCTCAAATTATAAATTTTGCAGAGCTGTAAACTGTTGGATCACTGAAAACTGTTCTAAATACTGAATGGGAGGGTGATGGTACAGACACCAGCCAATAGCACCTTCTGTGTCTTGTTTTTCCTTTGTTCAGTCTGAGTCATGCTGGAAACTTGCAGACATAGTTTTTCAGGAGCTTAGGGCAGAAAGGTGATGATTCTTTCAAACCAGCTGTACTGCTCTTTGAATGTTATGTCTACCTTAATGCTTGCAGGACTGTTGTAACGATGACTTGTAGATACTTCAGGACCTCAGCATTTGTATAAAAGCTGACTAGAGGCTGTGTGACAGAGCTCAATAGCTTTCAGTAAAGCCTTACAAAGAGAGAGAGGCTTCTCAGCGATCCCATCATTTGCACAGGTCTAGTTCCCTGCAGGGCCTGCTTGGACACACAGATTGCTCTGCCTGTAGTATAACGAAGCCAAGAGCCTGAGTCGCACTGCGGATTCTGGGCCAATAATTGCCTTCTTTTTGTAAAGGCCTTTTGTTGCGGCTGCATGCTGGGCTTAATAGCGTCTTCCTATTATAAACCTTGAAGAATGGGAATTGTGTGTGTGAAAATTGGCATGCTGAAGAACAGAGCCCCCGTCTCCAGCTAGATTGTGCAGTTTTGTGCAGTGAATGCTGGTTAGAGCACCTTTAGCCTGTAGCAGTAGCTGTGGTCATCCAATGAATTTTAGGTAAGATTGGGGGCGGGGGGATCCTTGCTCTAAGGCATCAGCAGCCAGTAACTAAGATGGGGCAAACCGTATCTTTTGGCTCACAAAAGAAATATCCTTTCAAAATTCAATTTTCTGAAAACCTTGGCCTTCTACAGAGACGCTTGAAAGTATGTGGACAATGATCGCTAAAATGTAAGGAAGCAAAGAGGTGACTGCAGATGATTTATAGTGTGTGAGCAGGCAGAGCTTGCTTCAGTGAGCAAAGCTAGAATAAATTTTGTAAAACAAGCATGTGCATAATTTATACCACCCATAAATTCAGTTTTCTTCATAGATTGTTAAAATGTATTGAAATTCCCACAGTCCTGGCCTGAGATATCCCCCCCTCCCCCCCAGGCTGGTAAGAGAAATGTAAGAGGCAAAACCACTGTAGCTTAATTAGTTATTCTCAATGCATTTTAATGTCACCTTTAGGAGAAGTTATATAGCAATTAAATAAATATGACATTGTATTCCCTTCTGACCCTTTGCTTGTGTCCGGGTGTTGTGCCCAAACATGTCTAAGACATGGAATCCTGGGATGCACCTGGTAAGTGGGTCTTGGCATGTCTTCCAGAACAATAAGCCATGAAGGTCCTCAGCATGGCCTTTGAGACATCTGTCAGCTCAGCATGGGTGGCTGTCAGGCAGTGGGGAGGTTGGAACCCCAGCACAATACCTGTACTGTGCTGCTTGTGCTTACTCACATGGACAATGGGCCCTGAGAAAAGGTGGTGGGATTCTTACTAACTGCAGCTATCCTCTTTCCACCAACCATGTATTGCTTCTGTACAAGCAATCCAGCTGGCACTGGCCTGGGCTAAAACAGATACTTCTGCTTCATCTAGCTGGGCCTCAGAGCCCTTCTTCCTTGATCACAACATCCATTGTCTTATTTTGAACTGACCTGGCATCAACCAGGAGAAGCTTGGAGGCTCAGTGGGCGCACAAAGGGTTCAGATGAGAGCCAGAAAATGAAAAGCCTGAAGTTATCTAGTTCTTTTTTTCCCCCTCACAAGCTTTGCTTTTCCTCCATCTCCGTACGTATGGAAGACCACATGCTTTCCTCTTGTTTCCTTGGGTGTCTATTAACTCCTGCCTGGCCCAGTTGAGCCCTGCGAAGTATTCCACAGCAAAGAGAGAACAATAAAAAACAATTGCCAAAACACAGCAAAAGACAGGATGGGGCCGGAATTAGATAAACCACATGAAGTGCACTAAAATTCATGTGGCTTGGTCATTAGATTAGCAATTAGCCCTCTTTTATTTGACAAATAAGCTTACTCACTCTAATCAGTAGAAGCACAGCCCACCAGAAAAGGAAAAGAAAAGAAATGGTCTACTCTCAGTAGGCCTCCTCTGCAATATCCTTTTCTTAAGGAAAACGCCCCCTCTCACGGGGTGTATTCAATTTATTCCAGCAAGGGGCCAAAGTAATCTAATTCCACAAGGAACAGCAGCTACTAAACGCTATCCCCTTTGACAGCCAACATTTCACGTCAGTAGCACCTACTAACTGCCTCTAAGGAACAACCATAAGGAATGATACTCTTTTGTGTGGACTGTTCGGTGTTCCCAGCTTTCAGCAAAACTCTCTGCTACTTACCTGCTCTTCCCCAGTTTGTACCTCACTGAATGTGGGCCAGTGCTTCTCAACGAAACCTAACACAAAATATGGCCTTTCTGCTGTAAATGGATCTTGGAACTCCTCATTCTGTTTCTTTTCATAATTACTATTATGGAAAGGAGCAGCACCATCAGAGTTCATGGTGCTTCAGAGAATAACAAACAAAAAGACAGGTCACTGTCCCAAGGTGTTTTGAGATCTAAATTTCAACCATGTTGCATTCTCCAGAACTGCATTATCCAGAACTGCAGTTTTGAGATATTTGTAGATGGGGAGCAAAGCCTTTGCTTAATCATGTAGCATTTGATAAACTCCTAGGAGCCAGTATCAGCTTTTCTCCCCAAGAGCCCAAAAGGTTTTTGTTCCTGTACCCTATCCATGGAACAGGCTAGCCTGGGACTGAAAATACTGTTCGTTTCCCCCCTCCTGGATGCATGCTGTTTTAGGGTAGCAAGCTGCTATGATGAAAGGTTTATTGCCGCAAAGCAGATTCACAAGGTTCGCCTTGTGTGTTTCTGTGCTCACCAGGTCTTTGGAGCCAGAACCCGCTGTTCTTAGCATAAGGGTACGTGTGGTTTTGGATCTTTCATTGTGCAGAAAAGGAGAAATACAGCCTGCATCGCTCTGCTTGTTGGGGGGGGCATTTCCTCCAATCCCAGGCATTTGAGTGGCAGTGAGCCAAACCTCCGGCTGTGTGTTGGCAGCTGCTCTCCTCCTCTTCCTCCTTCCAGTACAGAGAGCCTCGCCTGCCCCTTCTTTCTTTCTTGCTGTTGAACTCAGCTGCCAAATACAGCATTTAAGGAAAAGGGGGGTCCGGAGCTTGCCAAGGTGTCAGTGGATGTTACAGCTTCTGCTCTCGAACATATTTCATGCTTGTAGCTGCTCTACTGGAGATGGACCGTTCAAGCAATCTCAGCTGCTAAGTAGTAGTGTATGGAGGGAGGGGGAGAGTGGGCAAAATTCCAGCATCTTCCCCAACAAATGAAGCTAAAGAGTGGAAGGCATTGCAACTGGCCCAGATCTGTATAGGCTCGTTCTCTGGCTTTCCCTGGCCTTGGTGTAAATCCTGGGGTGTCCTTCTTCTCCATATCACTCAAATACATAGTTTCATCGAAAAGAGAAAGAGGAGCTGGTGCAGTCTGCATCTATTCACATGGTCTATTACTGCTCGTCCCTCTTTAGCCTTCTCTAACATTTTCTACTGGCTTGTTTTTTGGGAAAGGTTATGACTTACATACACAACATGGTGTTGAATGTACATGAAAGCCCATGAAGCTGCCGTATGCCTAGTAAGAGCACAAGTCTTTCCAGGCCAGTACTGGTTACATGGCAGTGGCTTTCCAGGATCTCAGGCAGAGAATGTTTCCCACTGCTTGCTACGTGAGATATTTTAACTCTGGTCCCCATGGACTTAATCTGGTGCCTTCTGTATGCAAAGCAAGCAAATTATCCCTGTTGGTGTGTAAGGGGCCACTTATAGATATTTATGGGATGTCCATGCATGGATGTGTCTGTAAAAGAAAGTGGCATCCAGTATATAAAACCAAAGCATAATATAGTAAAAGATGTAGCCCCATAAGTGGCACAACCCTTGTAGATTTGGCCTTATTGTACATACCTCTTCTACTTTACCCAAAACAGCATTTTAGTATTTTTAAGGCTGAAATAACACGCACCCTTGCAATTTCAAGAAGATGTATGTGGGAAATACATGAACTCCAGTACCAGGACTACAAGGTGCAAGCTGGTGTTGGGTTTTTGGTTTGTTTGGTTGTTTTTTTTACTGAGCTTGTCCTCTCCTGTCTTGGATGACACCTTTCTCTTTCCAGGGCTGATTATTTGGGTTCCTCTCTCTTTTGTTCTGTCGCAGAGACTTGCCTCAGTATGGGCAGAAGCAGTGGCAATCTTATTTTGGACGCACCTTTGATGTTTACACCAAACTCTGGAAGTTCCAGCAGCAGCACCGGTAAGAGGAACCTAAAGAGCTAGCTCTGCATTGAGTCTGCAGCATTCCACTTCCCATAATGTGGACCAAAGTAGCAAGAGAAGGTACCTGTCTGCCTGAGAGCCCAGGACACTCTTCTTGACCATGGGAGAAATTCTTGAGCAGCACTCAAGTACGTTGTTCATAACTGTGACCCAGTGAGATAGAAGGCATAGGTGCATAGGTGCACATTCCTAGGAAGCATATCCTATGGTAGGAGGTGTAACTACATTACAAACATAAACTGTTTACCAACCGTTCCCCAACCTCAGGGAACTGTAGTTTATTGCTTCATTTATTTTATGTAAAGCATTTCCATAGGACTTTTCCATAAGATCAAAACAGTTGAACAAACAAGAAAGAAAACCATGATGCAACAGAAGTGGCTAAGAATATTCATGGCCTTGTTGTCAAATTAGAAGTCCCAGGAGTCTTTGGGGAAAGCAGTGAGAGTTAATCTGGTATAATTTTTGTAGTGTAGATATGTCCCTTGGATATTGGAGATAATTTAAACACATTACTCTTCTTGCTGAGAGTTCACAGCTTAATCTTGCCCTTAAGGAAGCCTGTCTTCATTTAGCCCACTTAATCCCGGTAAATGTGGGATAACTGTGTTGGATGCTGAAAGTAAAAGCAATGGCATGTTGTGTGGAACATACAGAATGTGGCACAGTTTCATTTCTCTCTCCCCCCCCCAGGCAAGTTCTGGACAATCGATATGGCTTGAAGCGCTGGCAAATTGGCGAGATCGCTTCAAAGATTGGGCAGCTTTACTACCACTACTAGTAAGTAACCAAGCCTTTGAGGCCCATTGAATGGTCCTTGTCATGCACAAAAGAGCAAAGAGATAACACAGCTTCTCGGGAAGCAAGAACTGTGCTGTTGCGTTAAATATGAGAAATGAGTAGAATTTGTAATAGTACAGATCAGCTTTAGCAGTGAGCAGAAAAGGGATCAGGAAAGTCAGAGAGGTGCTGAGCAGGATTTCCAGTAGTTCACACTTTGCATTGTGTCTCATAAATAGGGGAAACTATGCAAAATGTTCAGACATGCACCACTTTCCTTTGCATTACAGCATATCTTTTTTTTTTGCGTTGTGTGTGTGTTTTTGTGTATGTGCTTGCAAGCCTGGAAGTCATGGTGACTTCTGGTGACTTCTAGTGGGGCTAGGACGTTTCAGAGAGGTGGCTTGATATTATCTGCCTCTGCGTCCCGGCCCTGGTATTCCTTGGAGGTCGCCCTTTCAAGTACTTGCCAGGCTCAGCTCTGCTTAGTTTATTACAGCATATCTTGTCATGTTCAGTTGACATGATGTTGGCCTAGAACTGAGACTATGCATATATGCAGAGTATACAAAACTCTTTGTAAGATGGGCCACCTATTCAGGATTCTTTTGTAAGGCTGTTGCTTACATTAGTGACTGTAAGAATGAAGAATATTAGCCTCTGCACTGTGTTTTGGGATGGAGGAAAATCTAGTATTTAGATACTGGGAACTAAGGGAAGGGGGGAAGTAACCTATTGGATGCTTTAGCTGTACGCTTAGCCATAGAGATGAGAGAGACTGGACCAATGCGTAGCTTGTAGTATCTGCAATGCTAAACCAGAAACTAGATTTGAGTCCCAGTTGCACCTTAGAAACCAACAGGATTTCAGGGTACGAGCTTTTAAGAGTCAAATCTTAGACTTCATGGGATGAAGAGAGCTTTGACTCTTGAAGGCTTATCCCCTGTGAATCTTGTTGGTCTTTAAGGTGTTACAGGACTCATCTAGTTCTTCTGCTCTAGACCAACATGGCTACCCTCCTGAAACTGAAAGCTGTCATTGCTTGCAGTACTTTATGTATGTGGGGTAGATGGGTGTTCTGTTTGCTTTGTCCCTGCATCTCTGTGGTGAAAAGCTCTGTATCCTTCATACTGGATGTCAGAGTGACAGACAGTTCAGTGAAATAACAGGAGTGCCAGTAAGGGCCTCATCAAGACTGGTTCACTTTGCACATTGCCAATAGCTGTTGGATGAATTTGGTGTGCAGCCCTGCGGAGCAGTGGAGTCTGAGTCTCTGTTCTTCTTCTGCAGCCTTCGCACATCTGAAACCAGCTACCTGAATGAAGCTTTCTCCTTCTACTCTGCTATTCGGCAGAGGTCTTATTATTCCCAAGTCAACAAAGAAGACAGGTCAGGCCATGCCTCAGTCTTGTGAGTTTTGCAACAAAAAATAAGACGCATGGGATTGTGGGATGGGTAGCAGTTTTTGTTATTTGTGACTTTGTGAATCTTGTCCTGTGGGGTTCAGTGGCTGAGGTCCAAAGAGCTGCTTTAGACATGGCTGAGAACTTGGAAATGCCCAATGCAGCTTTTGACTTTGAACAGCGGACACCTCCCCCAGCCATGTGTGCTATATCACAAGTTAATAAGAACATAAGAGGCACCAATGTTGGATCAGGCCAAAGGCCCATCCAGTCCAACACTCTGTCACATAGTGGCCAAAAATACCAGGTGCCATCAGGAGGTCCACCAGTGGGGCCAGGACATCTTGTTTTGAAACTCTCTAGGGCTACCCAAGTGTGTTTGCCATGAAGCATGAAAGATTGTTTTGTTTTGAGAAATAAGTTCCATGTCACATTGGGGTTATGGTGTTGCTAAACAGAACTAGCTGGGGCGTTTGGATTCTCACTGCTGCTGGAGGCTCCCACTGTGGCTCATCTTCTCTCAGCTATGTCAGTGGACTGAGATTCTTTACTGTGCTGCTTCATGGGCATGGATAGAAGAGTGGAAGCAGCAGGACCCTTGATAAAGGCAGGCTACAGTATGGCTGTCAGCAAGTATCCACGTAGGGCTATGACACGTTCCTTGGTTTTGGTTTTGTTCTTCAAGGCAAACTTAAAATTTTAGTCCTCACCCCCAGTCATTGAGTGCCAAACTGCATAATGGTATATTCCATTATCAAAATGAGGATATTTCCCTTGTATTTCTTGGTTGCTTGCGATGTTCATTGTTCATTTGCTTCCATTGCTTTACAACAGCATTAATGGTCTGGATACTTGGCTCCCAGTCTGTCCTCCAGAATGCAGGAGAGATCACCCAGGAAAAAAGCTACTAAGGTGCCTCTGTGGGTTTCCTTCTAAAGTGCAGGCAGGCTCTGTCTTTTCCTTCTCCAAAGTCAACTTGCATAGCAGAGGCAGGCGACCCTGGTGTTCCGGCATCACAGGCAGTTGCATAGTTTGCCTCTGCAGCCCCAGGACTGACCCGATGATCTGGTGAGGCAGTGGTCTCAGGTGGCAAATACTGGTGGGTGGCAGTTGTACCATCTCTCCCTCTGAACTGTTGCCAGCAGAACAGCTAATGCTCCTTCCCTCCTTGTTTCCCACACATGGGCCCATGCTGTCCTGCCTTACAAGGTGGTTATGATTAAAACAAGATAATGTATGTAAAGTGTGGACACTTGGAAAGTATTAACATACAAAGTAAGATATATCTAATAGTTACAGGTGGTCTGACCACATGGATCAAAAAACCTACACAAGACGGAGGGAAACATACACAACTAGGGTAAATGTTTCTGAAACCCTAGGTTTGCAGAAAAATCTTACTGAAAGTGAGGCAGTGATTAAATAAAGCACAGAATTGTTTTAAACTGTTTGCCACCATTTGGGGTTGCCTAGGACTTGAATTACAACTATTTTGGGGTTATGTAGTCCTGTTTGGAGGTGAGCTGGTGATAGAGGGGGGGGGGTAAAGTCTGTAAGCTGTAAGGGGAAGAAGCTGCATTAGTTGTAAAGTGGAGTGACGGGCAGGGAAAAGGTCAACTGGAGAGAATAATGGGGTAGGGAATGAACCCAAAGGCAACAGGGTGAAGGAAAAGGGGGCAGCAAGAGAGGGAGGAGTGGGAATGGGGGGAAAAGGTGGGGAGTAGGGAGAAGAAAGGAGAAAATAGGAGCCAATGAGGAGGGAAATGCAGACACCAGTAGGTGGGGGATGAGATTTCCAGGCTCTTGTTACTCTTTATCTTTATTATGAGCCATAGCAAAGCAAAGTCTTCTCATAACAGAAACCATACATTGATTTGAATGATGGTCAGGGACTGGAAAGTTTTAATGCTTATATATCTCCGGCTATAATGCTTATAGATCTCTGGCATGCTCCATAAATGGACCCCAGGTAAATAAACAGGTCTTTGGCTTAGCTCTGCCCCAACCTTCATTTCCTCAGCAATGAAAAATATCTGACATTGTGCTGAAGAATTGCAGAAGATGCTATAAGGTGCAGGATCCATCATCTTTGCTCAGAGCTGTCCCTTTTCCCCACCATCTGCTGAATAATCTTTATTCTTTTTTTCTTTTTCTTTTTCTTTTCCAGGCCTGAACTGGTGGTTAAGAAACTGCGTTATTATGCACGGTTTATTGTGGTTTGCCTTTTACTCAACAAAATGGACGTTGTTAAGGATCTGGTAAAGGTAAAAACCGTCATGCCATACTGGTGTAGGCGTTTGTTATGTTTGTAATCTGCCTCCCTCTCAAAGAGCTTGAAGAAGTGTATTTATCCTTGAAACGAGCCTTTGAGGACTGGGTAGGTTAAACATGCCTTCCCCAAGGCCATCCAGTGAATTTTTATATATGAGCAAGGATTTGAACCTTGACCCCATTCAAGGAGGAGGGGATTTTAGCTCAGTGCTCTTTATTTGCTTTGCATGCAGAAGGTCCTGGCTTCAGTCCCCGCAAGCAGGCTCAGGGCGGGTTCCATCATAAAATTCACAGTACAACAAATCAACAGTTAAAATATATCTAGAAACCTATCTAAAAACAATATTCAGTAGAAGATCAGTGCCTCAACAGGTTTCAGCAAGAAACAGTTTGTTCCCAGGTGGCCATTTGGATCTGAGGCCACTAGAGGGGAGGCCAACAGCAGGTGGGCGCTCGCTGAAAGCCTGGCGGAAGAGCTTTGTCTTGCAGGCTCTGTGAAACTGTAATAGGTCCCACAAGGCCCTGATTTCTAATGGGAGCTCATTCCACCAGGTAAGGGCCAGGGCCAAAAAAGCCCTGGCCCTCGCTGAGGCAAGTCAGACATACCTGGGGCTGGGAACTACCAGGAGATGTTGATTAATAGATCATAAGTTCCTGCGGGGCTCATATGAGGAGAGGTGGTCCCGAAAGTATGCTGGCCCCTGGCCGTATAGGGCTTTAAAGGGAAAGACCCGTGTTTGAAGCCCTGGAGAACTGCTGTCAGTCATAATGGAAGATGCTGGGCTAGGTTGGCCAGGGGTCTGACTGTAGAAAGTAGCTTTATATGTTCATAAGCTTGGGAAATACTGCTGATGGAGAGCAGGCATAAATATAAGAATAAGCACAAACCTTTTGGGAGGTCATGTGCCAAGTGTTGAGGACATGGGTATGCTGAAATAGTTTTCTTGTTCTTGTGTCTAGGAGGCTGCTTTTATGCTTAAATAAACACACACATGCACCCACAACCTAATTAAAAATAGATGAAAACACTGCACACCCATTAAAAGCCACTTATTGCATCTCCTTTTCCAGGAATTGTCAGACGAGATTGAAGACTATACCCACCGCTTCAATACAGAGGACCAGGTGGAGTGGAACTTGGTTCTCCAAGAAGTGGCAGCATTCATTGAGGTAGGGCCAGGAGCAGTCTTCTGTTCTTTTTCGGGAATTTTGTAAGGTCATTCACCCTCACCCCTCTTATCTACCCAGTCAGAGTGGTGATCACCATTCTCTAGTATGCAGCAATTTTTACAAACTCCTCTTGTGGTTGGAATTCAGTGTTTTCACCTAGTCAGGATTACTTGGGTTAACTGTCATCAGAATGTTTTTTGGTGATCCTTTGTTAGAGTCGGGGCGTCAAGTCTGGTGAATGCATGGTCTGTTTCTGGCTCTGGTGTGGAGATTGCAGGCTGTTTTGGGTTACCAAAAGTCAATTTAAGCTGGTGCTCTGTTGCCAGCGGTAGGCAGCCAGATCCCACAAGAAGCTCTGAAACGGGGCATGATGGGGTACAAGTGTGGGCCCTTGTTGGTCTGTCCTGAGTAACGTGTAGTCAAAAAATATGCTGCCTGTAAATACAAATTACAGTTTTTAAGCTATCATGACTAATAGTTGCTCTTAGACTTACTCTCCATCAATTATCTGAGCTAGTGGCTATCACTGTTGCCTGTTCTGGTGGCTTTCATATTAAAAGAAATGTCCAGGTGTTTAGCTGTCATAGACTCTGGAGAGTTCAAAAGGCTCTAGAGAATTGGCAAATGACTTTTGTTCCTCTATCACACCTTGTTTACCTATCCTCATGTCCTTCCATTCTTTCATAGTATTCCATTCCAGTTATCCAAAGACTAGAACAATCAGCCTCCTAAACAAGAAAAAGAAATCCTATTGGACAATACAAGCATGTGTGTTTAAAAAGCTGGTTTGGCATGTGTAATTGTATTTTTCTTGATGGTGAGTTTGCACCCAAGGCAGATTGGAATTGCTATAAGAGAAAATTGGTGAATATGTGGAGGAAGAATTCTTTGGATCAGATCTACTCTTACAGGCCTTGAAGCTTCGAGGGCTGCTTGGGAAAATCAGAGACACACTGTCAACAGTCCCAGTGCTATTTCTGCCCATGATGAAGGAAATCTTTGCAAAACGAACAGGCTGAGTGTAGATTAACTGGGAAACAGAACAGTGAGTAAGGGTGACAGTTGCATTGATCGTGCTCTTAGTGTTAATCTGCTCCGTTGCCTTTTATCCAGCTTAGTTTAGTTCAGTTTGTAATAAGTGGACCTGAAAAGCACACACACACCAAGCACAGTATGATTTCAATTCCTAGCTTCGTACTGGACACAATTTCTAGGGCTCTCTCATTGGCAGTGCTGCTTATTCTTTCTTGCAAGGCGTAGGCCTGACTGTCCTTGCTTCCCTGTTCATCTAGGCAGACCCGGTGATGGTCCTGAATGATGATAACACCCTTGTGATCCTCTCCAACCGTCTCTCTGAAATGGGAGCCCCTCTGCTGGAGCAGGGGATGATTGTGGGGCAGCTGACTCTTGCGGATGCACTTATTATTGGGAACTGCAACAATCAGGTGGGATCCTGTGTGAGAGCATTAAAAATGTCACAAAAAGGACATGTGGTTGGTAGACAATACTGGAACATTTTAGAAACATATGTGTCTTTAAAGGAGGGGAGGCCACAAGGGTCAAGGGCAGCGATTTGTTGATGATGACTCCTACTCTCTGGAACTCCCAATCTGTGGAGGGTCCTCTTTTAGCCACTCTACATAGCTTCCTAGATCAAAGAGTCTTTGATTATACCCTGGCTTACCCAAGTAATTGCATGTCAAAATTTCCTGGAGAATGTGTACCTTCACTTCCTCTGAGATTTGCCAGCCAGGATTCTGCAGGATCCCCTCAGCACCATCTTTTTTACAAAAATACCAATGGAGGTTATGTGAAAAACTTGTTATTGATGCTTCTAGGTGCAGGAGGAACAGTCTGAGGCACACTGGAATCGTCAGATATAATATGGCAATCTGCCCACAACTGCCTTCTGTGGACACCTGCCTAGGAAGTGGCAAATTAATAAGGTCTCTGGCTGCTAAGATAGTTTCAGAAGGCCTTGAGGGTGCCTCAGTAGTGGGAGATCCAGCTGGCAAGTGGCTAGCACTCCGCCAGCCACCTTAGTAGCGACAGTGAAACAGTAGAGTTTTCTCCCTCTTGAGGTGCAACATGCTGTCTTGTTATATGCTTTTAGGCATTATGCCAAGACATTTTCCCTGTGCCATGCTTGTACTATTTTTAGGGTTTTTTGGAGGGGAAGGGGGGCTAAAATGTTTTACTGCTTATATGGTTGGGGGCTCCACATGATTTGATTTTTAAACATCCTGTTCTTTCCATTCACGTATTGGGATTTTTAGTCTTTGTTGAAAATTAGTGTTCTGTCTTTAAGGAATCATTTTAATACTTCTGTCTCCCCCTACCCAGTAAATAGCCCCCAAAGGACCTCAGTATACTGTGAACGGCAAAGTTATGAGCAGTTCTTTTGCAGGTGAAATTCAGTGAATTGACAATCGACATGTTCCGGATGCTGCAAGCTCTGGAGAGGGAGCCAATGAATTTAGCCTCACAAATGAATAAGCCTGGATTGCAGGCAAGTCTGATTTATATTTGTACCTTTCCCCCTCTCACTCAACAGGCTGGCAGCTGACAATATTTAATTTTGGGGTGGGGACTGTGGTTACTCCCTGCACTAAAATATTCCACATGGGCTAATTAAAAATAGATTTGTACCATGCTGAGATAAATAATCAATGTCTTTTTTTTAAGTGAAATACAAAGGCTGGTTTAGGAACATACGTTTCTTTTACACAGGAGACAACTGAAAAGCCAGCAAGGAGGGAGAATCCCCACAAATACTTGCTATACAAGCCAACTTTCAGTCAACTGTATACCTTCCTAGCTGCATCATTTAAGGTTTGTGGGGAAAGGGGGAGTGCCTCTCTTCAGCAGAAGAATCTAACACAAAACCTCCCTGAACCGAAATGAATCTCTGCCACTGGACTCCTCATTCCCAGTCAGTTTCTGTTGTCTGTTACCTGCTTTTATGTCAGTGCTTTGGTGACCTTGTTATTTGTTTGGGGGGGCTGCTTAAAAGCAGTCTAAACTATTAAGTACTCCCCCCTTTCCCTGGGTAGACTCAAAGGAACCCAGTATCCTCTGAAATGCAGCTGATAATGATGTGTTATTGATGTGTAAGATGTGCCCCTCATGCATTCAAAATTAACAACACCTCTTTTCTTGTCAACATTTCAGGAACTGCCTGCAAATAGTGTCCTGCTGATCTACCTGTCGGCCACTGGCGTGTTCCCTTCAGGTCGTTCGGATAGTGAAGGTACAAATAAAGGAATGCTCCCTGTCATGAGCAGGGCTTGAATTCTCTTTATGATCCACAGACCAACAGAAGTCTGCTCCCAAAGGAAAAACTCCTCTCCTGGAGTGGTCCAGCTTTCCTTTGCTGACATAGCAATATTCATGCTGTGTGTTTTGGGGGGCTTGCTTCTCAATCTACCTTCAGGTCCTATGTCAGAATTTTTAGACATCCAACGTGTTGAACCCAATTCAGGCACTTACCAAGCTGGCAAGTCCTTTTTGCACAGCAAAAGAGCATGTGAGTGGCGTGTCCACCCTATACTCTTGCTCACCCACTCATTCGTATCCACAGTGCGTTAAAGCACATGGCCCAAGTTCATGTTCTTTTCCCCCTCCTTCTGTAAAACTGCAAGAGGGATATTTTTGCAAATCTGAGTTATGTTACAGATCTCCAGGCTCAGATATCACATTATATCAGGGCTGGGTTGGCACTAACTAGCTCTTCCACTGTGTGAAAATGATCACCACCCTGATAAGTGTCTGTACTGTGCTGAAGTGAGAAAACTGTAAATGCTTCTGGGGCTTACTTGGCCCTTTATGAGTACAGTTGGAACACGAAACGGATAACCAATGTTAGTAACATCCAAGCATGGCCAGTGGGTGGCTGTGCTTGAAAAAGGCATTAAAAAGATAGATGTTACGCCTTCTCTGCTCGTTACCATGACAATTCAAGCCCTTGTCATGACTTTGGTAACTTCCCTCCACCCCACTTCCCTCTCGACCTGTCCAACTTGGCCAAATACGGGGATGCAGCTGCCATCTTTAAAAAGCAAACTAAAAGCTATTAAAAATACACTGACTGTCCAGATCAAATAAACTGCAGTGATTTGGTTCCCCAGGTGTCATGTTTGCATTAAATGAAGAAATCCTCCCAAACAAAAGTCAGATGAGATTCACTCCATCCACTTAATACTTGCATTCCTTTATACAATGCATGCTTGTTCCATCTTCCTTGCATGATTCATAAACCTTTCCAGATACTTGCACCAAAAAGAAACCTGTAAACGTTTTCTTACAGGTTTTTTTTAAAAGTTGATTGGTGTTGGACTTTTCTGTGTGCTTTGGACGCAGATCTGTTGCCCTCCTGGTGGCCTGTGTTATTGTCTACATTTCCTGCATGACTTCTTTTGCTTCCCAATGTACTGCAGAATGAATGTTCCATCACTGTCTTTTGGAGAGCCTCCTAGATTTCCTTTGCCTCTCTTGGTTCCAGGTGATGTCTGTGTGCCTTTAAAGGCCCTCTAGACAGCTCAGTTTCAGGGATCAGTTTCACTGCTCCAGCACTCTCAGTTGCCTCCAGAAGTGCTTCAACCCATGCTGATCCCTACAAGCCATATAGCTTACAGAACCCAGTATGGGGGCAGTTCAGGTAAAGCAGACCGTTTGGCTGGCTTTCTGTGCTGTATTTGGTGGTAGTGACATGGTGGGAAAGAGCAACTTCTTTCCTCGGGATGCTTCCTGTTCTCCCAGTTGAGTGTTGCACCCAACCGGGAACACAGAAAGCAACCATCCAAGTGAGTCTGTCTTCTAGTTGTCTTGGTTTTGGAAGGGATACCTGAAGATGCAGCGTAACACAACAGTTGCTGTTCTCTTGGATTATGTGGGTGATCATAAGAAATTGCTTTGAGTTAGGACGAAAGTCCGTTCAGTGCAATACTTCATCTGTAACAGATCAACAGAAGGGCTGATTGCACTTGCCCTTTTAACCTAGGAGTCTTAAATGATGATGTCACAAATCTCCCTTGAATAAAGACTGAAAAGTGATAAAGCATTTCCAGTTTGAAGCAGAGGGTACATTGGTGGGAACTTCTTGTGTTTCTAATTCCTTTTTTAAAAAGTGAAGTTATGAGTTAACCTGCTGGATTCCTGTGCAAAATATCCATCTGGGGATATTTTGGAAGCCAGCAGCAGAACTACATAGAACTTTGCATGGTCAGAGTGGGCCTCCAATCACAGCTTCTTGCTTTTCTTCCATTGGTTGTAACTCCCTGGTCCCACTTGCATGATTCCCATGCATCACACCCGCCTATCCTACCAGTCCCCCAGATCTGTAATTCTCTGAAGCTCTAAATCTTAGAAATAGCAGTAATGTGGAAAAAAAAATATTCCAGTAGCTGAAATCTTGGTCCAACCCAGCTACTATGGACTGGAGTTCTGATGATTCTTTGCAAAAGTGGAAAGCAGATGCATCAGCTACTTATATCCACCTGCATGTTCTGCTTGTTTGACCAATACAACTGTTCCTTCAGATGCTGGAGGGAAATTTCAGCAGTAGGGGCAAAGATCTTTGGGTAACAGAATAGCTGAGTTTTGAAATCGAAACTCTGCTAGTATCGAGGGGAAGCATTTTTAAAATGGAGATTGAGATGTGCTGTCAGGCTTTGGGTTCAAGAAATTCATCTTGAAGCTCAGCTTAACTGCACCTCTTGTCCCATCTTTGTGTTACATTTGCAAGACTCCAGGATTATTCTCATTATCAGCCTTGGGTCTGTTTACACATTTGAGTGAACTGATATCCAGTTATAAATGGCTCTTAACGTAAGCATGTGACTGCTGCTGTCAGCTTTCACTTAATCAGTCATCACAGATAACTTTGCCTCTTGATTATCCACTAGTGGGATCCCCCTGAGGATATGAGATGCCTTTTGTGTAGACTTGACCCTGTGATTCTGTCTGTAATCCTGATGGTGGTTTGAAATGGCTAGCGAATTATCGATTTACATAGGTCTGTTCATAAAGTAACCAGCTCCTTTCATATCACCAGCTGATTGTGAGGATTAACCCTTAAGGTGCAATCCTATGGACACTTGGGAATAAGTCTCATGAAACAGAGCGGAACTTGACTTCTTTGTAAATCTGCATAGGCTTGGATGGTAAAGCCAGCTAAGTAGCTATCTAGCAAACACATGATGAGATCTGTAAATCTCCATTGGGAACTGGTTGTTGCGTGTAAAGTCATTGCGGAAATTGCATCTGCTTGTTTTGGAAAACAAGTCCCACTAGGCAGTTGTTAAGCTGGACCTGTAAGACTGAATACATGGCTGTTACCAAGAGTGGGTCTACCTGCAGGTCTTCATTTTGGAGCTTTCCAAAGCACACACCTCCAGCAGCTCTGTATTGCTTTTGCCGTGGTGGTGGCTGTTACTGCTAACTCTGGAAAGGTTCTTGTTGATGTGTTAGAAGGATGAATTCCAGCTCTTGAATATA